TAATGACTCTCAAGCATCTCACTTCTCCCTCACCTTCAAACTGATAAACTGCACATAGGAAAGCTTGTTGGGAGAATTGGCATTGGTAATTGAAAGTGCATCATGGGCCACGTGTGAAGAGGCGGCGGCAGCACTGATGATTCAGAGTTTGTTTTGTTGTAGGATAGGCGCAGTGAGAAGGAGGCATGAGAATAAATCAGGTCTATCCAGAAAGCAGTGGTGACCCTAACCATAACTGTGTATTGCTTACTCAAGCAGTGTACTATGGGACTGTGGCTCAACACTTAAGGTGGATCATCCACTTTGCATGCCAAACCGTCCTCGGTTAAGATGCTGAAGTCCCAAAATCACGTTTCTTGAATGCATTTTACGATTTACTTTGCAAGTCAAAACTTTTGCATAAAAAATCTATGAAAAACATTGGTAACTACTTTGACAATAGTTCAGAGTACTTGTGGAAACATTACTCACTATTCTAAAAAATATTTATTAACCAGTCAACTAATGGAAAAAATAATCTGATCAGTTCAGTAGGAAATTCATAATTGTGAAGAAAAGTGACTCTGAATCCAGTGTGGTTGGTGTACTGGGATTTTCCCACACAATCATGGTTTACAAAGACTGGTCTGAAAAAGAGAAAATATCCATTAGGGGGCAGATCTCTGGGCAAAAACATATTTTTTGTCAGATAAAATCACCAGTGTTGCGTTCCAGCTGATAGGAAGGCAACAGTAACTCAAATAACGACTCATTACAACCAAAGAAGAGCATCTCTGAATACACAACATGCCCAACCTTGATGCAGATGGGCTACAACAGGAGAAGAGAACACCTGATGCCACTGTTGTTAGCTAAGAAAAGGAAATTGAGGCTATATTTTACATGGGATCACCAAAATTGGACAATAGTCTTGATTTCTACTGTGACATTTAGACGTTAGGGTCAGAATTTGGTGTAAACAACATAAAAGCATAGCTCCATCCTGTTATGTTCATATTTTCTTGCACACTTAAGGCCACTTAATACCAGCTGAGCATTGCTTAAACATCACAGCCTGCTTAAACATCACAGCCTACCTGAGTATTTTTACTGGCCATGTCCATTTCTCTATAACTAAAGTCACTGCCAGGGGTGCATGTGAAGAAATAAATGGGATCGGACATTAAATGTTCCTTAACATGCCAACTCCCTGGTCAAAGTCTTAATGTTTGGTAGCATGTGCATGAGAATAGCTCAGATAATAGTCAGTTGAATTCACAGCAAGCCTGTGTCTCCTGCATGCTCCGTCTGGGCAGCACCAATATTTCCTGAAGTCAGAATGTGACTGAAGTCGACCGTCTCCTGCTGCGTGCCCCTTGTGGGAAAGTGCAAACTCAGACTCCAGACAGCATCTCAACCCAGCTTACCCCCAACACTGTCTGGAGTTCATGTGAAAACAGTAATTGTGGGCATATTTCTCCAATCAGTACTTCTAGCTTTAACTCTTGCACTACAGTTTTACAGAGCAGTTTCACAGCGTAGTATTATTCATTTTTAAGTGTACGCGTGAGTGGTGTCTTCGGTTTCACATTTTACACCATGTGACACAACACAGCCATTGAACCTGATGAATAATGACTATGTGAACCTTGAATGGAGTTCACACTTGGTTTTAAAATGTGGACAATGATAAATAAACAACATCGTGAAAGGTGCTGCTTTGATCCGGTCATTCAGGCCACTTTGCTGAGGGGATTTTAAATGCACTTGGGCTCATATCACTGTACTGTAAATGCTAATGTGTCCTAACATGAGCAACGCATCAGGATGTAGTAGTAAATATGCCAACACGGAAGGACAAACATTTTGTTCTCTTTGCTAGCTCTTGCTGATCTTACGCTTGAATGGCAACAGACAGACAAAATAATGCTGTCCTTTCACCTTCTAGTGGAATTTGCACAGTAACAAAGGCTGAACTTGTGGTTAGCTGGAATCCTTAGAGGCTAATGAAATGATGACACATCTTGGCTCTCTACTTGTGACCCAGTCACCCAGCATACATTTTAAAACCAAGTGTAAACAGGGTCATAATCACAAATGTGAGCTGAAGGACACATAACGGCTGGGATACCGATACACAGGAAGTTATTCCTACTTTGGTACATCAGGGTCGGATTTGCAGGATGCCCTCTGCTTTTTCACAAGTGATCGAGTTTATTGATATAGCCTCAGCAGAAGGAGTAAACTGCAAACTTCTTCTCAAGCTATGGCTTCTTCTTTATCCCTTGTACATCTACTCCCCTCCTCATTGATAAAACCTCTGTGTTTGCTTATTTAGTGATCAATTTCCACCGTATTCATTTCTTTCATATATTCAAGTGCACGTACACCTGCAAAACATCAACTGAAGCCACTCGATAACGTATTGATCACCTTTTTTTTTTTATGCTGAGACGCATTTATTTTGTTAATTTATTAATCTCTGCATACAATGCTGATGTCTAGTCATCCATGCCATGATAACAGCAACAGCACAGTCCCAATGGAGCAAATGAGAATTTATAGGCTCGGGTTGCCACAGAAATGAACTCCACCAAATCAATAGGCTGAGAGTTGGGTAAATAAAAGCCTGCAGTAAGTCTGTTCTCAAGGTACGAGTGCTCTTCTCTAAACTTAAGTTTGGCTGCTGATGCATTAGTAATAAAAGTATGTGGGTGGCAGGCTGACAAAGTGAGGTAACCCTGAGAAAACATGCCCAGCGTATCATTTAAAGGGGAGCAAGAGCTTGACTGCAGGGGAAGGACTGATTAGTTTGTGGGTTTTTTTTTACATTTCCTGTCATTTTTTGACCCTCGTACATGTCTGGCTGTGTGCGTTTAAGTAAAATCAAGTCGTTTGCTGAATCCTTCAAGAGCAGCATCAGTAGGAGAAAGTGGATAATCAGATATATTATTGATCTCCTGCATGAAATATGTTTTAAATTATTAAAATGATAACCCCTTAGCCAGTGAGTGGAGGAATCCTGGTGAGGAAAAAGGGAGGGGCAGAGAGGGGTTGGTTAAACAGCAATCTGTTTCTTCTGCATGCTCATACCAGTGTGCGAAACAACTCATGATAACATCCCTCTTCACTTTACTCTTCATTGATTTGTGAATATTTCTCAACTCGTTTCACTCGTCTTTCCTGTTTTCTTCCTCCCTATTTTCTGCCGCTCTTTCTCTCTTTCCCTTCTAGCCCTCCTCCTCAACTCCCCATGGCCCATCTGCATGCTGCTCTAGGTGGGTGCAGCGGGGGAGATAGCATAGTGGTGGCGGTGTGAAAAATGGCAGTTGTTAACCATCTGACAGGGCTGTCTCCCAGGAGCTGCAGCCTCTCCAAACAGCTCTAATGGGAAACATGCACATGGACCAGAGAATGGACTTGTTTAAATGTGCTACACCACTAGGAGGGGAGCGACACGAAGATGGGCTTGTTTTAAATGTCTCAAAGCCTCCGGAGCGAGGCTTGTCAGTGGAGTCTTTGCAATGTTGCACAAAGACCTTAAGCGAGGTGAAGCTATATAAACTGCTTTTTACAAATGTGTTCAGCATCATCTGAATCTATTCTCAGGGCTTGTGCCGCATCCTGCTCTGTCAGAGATAAGGAGAGGGAAAAGCGCTGGTCATGGAGAGAAAGCAGCTCCCAGTAAGACACAGGCAACCATTTTAATACTCCACGATTTCTTTCCAGATTTCAAATCAAAACTTATTTCTTCTTCTTCTTTTTCGTTCTTTTTTTTTCTAAACTAACAGAAAGACTTTATGAGTGCACATTTCTATTATGAGGAACGCTTAAATGTTGAATGTTTCAGTTATACATTTTTATTAGTTTTCCTAATGATCATAAATAATACCCTAATTACAATAAGAGAGATCAAGATGAAGCTGCATCCAGGCATGAGAGGCATGAGATACCAAATATCGATTAGATCAGGGTTGCTTTTTTCTTTTTGTAGCACTTTGACTGAAATTACTTGATTCAAAGGCCAACTTTTGAAGGTGTCCTCACATTGTGTTTTTTTTACATTCATCTACATTTTTTTGTACAGCAGTGTTTGTGTCCACAGGACAATGATGTATTTTAACTGACAAAAAATATATCAGAGGTAATACAACAAATAAATTACAGTTTATAACAAATTTCAAGCCTCTGCATCGTGTTCATGCTGTAGTGTAATTAATTGAAAAGAGCAGCTGCTTAGAAGGCAGGGAATACATCTCTGGAAAATGGTTGGTTTAGTGTATGCAATTTGGAGTTAATGGGCTAAGAGATGCGAAACCATTTGCATCGTCCTTTAATATTATGGGGTAAATTTATCTACATCTGCTATTAATTCCTCATTACTGCCAAGTCCAGGGAGGTAATTTGTAGCCCTGTGTTCCTTACTTGATGTCGCTCTCCTGGACTCTCTCTTCATCCAGGTCCTCTATGAACTTCTCCCCCTTCATCCAGTAGATGAGGGGGCTGACATCGCCGCTGTAGCCAAAAAATGCCCGGCAGGTAAGGTTCAGGGCGCTTCCTGCAAAAAACCACAAAACAAAACAGGAGATGACATGCTGTCATGCTCGATGGTCTTGCTGTTGTGTTAAAGGCATACAGCTCACATGCACAACCTGAAAAAATATTGTGTCAAATCCTATGCAGGGCTTTAAAGTCAGTGATAGCGCACAGATACTCCAATTCTACCAATTCTTTTTATTTTATGCATCATACACACATAGGGTGTGACACAGACTTCACACATTCATAGATTCACAAATACACACTTTGCAAATCTGCACACAAATGCCGTCTGATGAGAGAAAGTGAAAATATGCCCATCCTCAACTAGTTTGGGGGATGTGTGTGTGCTATTTAAGGAGACAGTCTTTCCTTTCAGCGTCAGCTTTAAATGCCCATTTGGCCACACACAAAGCACACTGATCATAAAGCAAGTAATGAACACATGAGGGCACTCAAGAGCTTTCCAGAATCCCCCTGGAGACAGTGCATTGGAAAAAATAAGGCAAAAGGAAGTGAGCGGAGACAGACACATCATTTTATTTAGAGCCGCTGCTGGGTATGAAGGGAGGTCAGGAGTCAACAACTACAGTTTGCTGCGAGTTGATATGTGGAGGGAAGAAGTAATTGTCACTGGGGAGCCGATGGATTCTTGGTTCTGTGAATGAAAGGATTATCTCTGTGGTTCAACACAGAGGGCAAGTATTTGCATGGAAGAAAAGGTGATACTTCACTACCAATTAAAAAAGTTTCAGTAGAAATCTACCGCACTAAAGCTGCTGGCAGCGTTTTTATAATTTGAAAAAGCCTAGAGATAAATCATAAATGAATCAGAGATAAAAAGCAATAAATAAATTAATTAATTAAAAAAATATACATATATACATAATGAATCAAATATTACAAACAGCACAACTGTGAGCTGATTAAAGCTGGCAACACGTCATCACTCATGCAAGAACTTCAGTGTCCATGAACTTTGCATGTATTAAACTAAAGCTAAAGCGTGGCTGGCATACACTGTGAATGCATTTATTTTTCGTTCCAGCGAGGTGGCATTCACTAAACGCCTAGAGCGCACTAATCTCGGCAAACCACAAGCGACGTGTAAACAATATACATATGATTTGATCCCGTAGCACATACTGTAAAGTGGGTGGAGACTCCTCTCGGGAGAGTCGGATCTGTGATTTGGGAAGCGCCGGGAGAAAGACGCGAAGAGGCTGGGGGGATGACGCAGATGCTTTTTGCCAAGCCGCAGTGCAAGGTTTGCATTTGTTAATCCCGATTATTATGTTCCAGCACTTGTGTTGGGAATCCAAGGGAAACTCTGCTACTTAACACCAACTTCAAAAGCAACTACGTCTAAGTCAGATCTTTTTTTGTAAGAGTCAAAACTAAATATTTAAGGATTTACTGTAAGACTCTTCTCTTGCATTACACATTATACAAGGATTTTTTCTTTGTTCCCTTACTGTGATCTTTGAACCCACTGCACACCACAGTGTACCCCACCACCTTTTTCTGGGATGCCCCGGCTGTGCCACCGGTCACACATCTTCAGAGCTGTGCCGACAAGGGTTATTCTTTAGAAGATTGTTTGTGTTTGAACTAAGAGCTCGTTTTCTCTGTGCTCCTCCTGTCAACAACCGATACACAGCTACAAAAGATTTCAGCGGGTCTCTCTCTCTCAGTATAAGGAAGTTTTGTGGCGTGCAGGGAAGGAGGATGGGAGGACACCCAGGAATGAACTGATAGCGCTGTCTGTGAGGAGCCGTGTCTGACATTTCCAAAGTTCAACAGCCTCTCTCAGCTTGGTATTTGTGCACAGCCGGGCTCTACAAAGGCTACACGCTCTACCTACAAAATAGGAACCTCCTGCGTGCAACACACACACATACAAACACAACCATTCACATGCACATGTACAGAGAACTTGGTACAAAAATTCTTTACTATATAATCAGATCCAATTTTTTAACATGCACATACGGCACAAAATTACACATTACAGGCAACTCCGTGTCTCTGTGTGTGACCCAGATGCAGTATCTACCTTTTCCTCTGTTTATAAATCTGCCCCCTGCTGTTCGTATATCCCTCAGATCAATTGTAAACTAGGAATGTCAAGCTGCCAGCAGCCGCTGCCTGGAGAGGAAGTCTCCACTGAGCTGCCTGGGAATCACAGGAAACACTTGAAGGCCTCCTGCTGTCTTATTCTAATCCAAATGCAGCACTCCCTGAAACGCTCTCACAGCCACCTTTGTTACTTCCAGAATGCCGGTGGGTGGTTTTGCACCTGCAACATCATCGTCACAGTCGATACAGTGTAAAGCTGGACATTTTGTTACAGGATGGTGGCCAATTAGTCTGATAAAGTGCTCATAGGGCACATGTGTGCTCTCTTGCATTATCAGCTCATCCTGTACATTCAGTAATACATAAAAAGTTGCTTTTCTAAGGCTCTGATTGAAGAAAACATTAATTTGGAAGAATAATACCAGCGGTGCACTACACAGCTTTTTGGAGCTTTTGATGATATATGATTTTTTTTTAGCTGATTGGGTTCTTCTGGTTTTATTTTGGCTTAAAAGTCAAGACTGAAAGTTTAGCCTTTAATATGAATAAAGACTTACAAATCTGTATTATTATTATTATTAAAAATAAAGAAGATTGGTTAATAAATCATAAACTAAAGATCGTCTGCCCCATTTAAAACATCTGATTTGTACGCATGTTTGAAGTTGGGTATTTGAATATAATTTCATCCTGACTGATTATTACGTGGCGTTCAGTACTGTCTGCAGGGTCACATGCACCACGTTCTCTGCCTGCATTGAACACTGAACAGCTTTTTTATACCTTTAGAGGCTTATTTTCTTCCCAGAGCACTTCAGTGTGCAGCTGAAATAACACCCAAGTTATTTGAAATGACACTTGCGCTCCCCTGGTGCTACATGTGCAATGCATACCTCCAGCTGCGTTTTAATTGGCAAGGTGAAGAGAAAGGTGGACGACTCTTTGCAAGGCAGCAGAGAAATGCATATAAGTATTACCCAGGCATATATATATATATATACATATATATATATATACATATATATATATGTATGTCCTGTTTAAGCTAGGCAAGATTGCCATAACTATTATGATGCTAAGCCAGCCAGACTTGGAGCAGATGATAGGAAGACTATTAACCAGAACTGGAACAATGAGGTTGATCATTTGTACTAGCTGCAAAGGAGGAACAGCTTTTTTAAATCTTTCCCATGCTGTCAAACCCCATAGCAGTATCATTATTATTATAATCTGTTATTAGTCTCAGAGAGGTTTGTAACATTTGGAAACTTCCATTAATGATCTCTGTGTTTGACTCTGAGGGTGAATTTTTACTGAATTTTTAGGCAAAAGATAAGTTCAGGAAAACCCTCTAAAGTTAAATTTGGCTTCAGAAAAACTTTCAAGGGAACAGGTCGGGCAGAATTGTTTGGTCTAAAAATGTTCAAATAACAAAAGTGCTGATTATAAAAAAAGCATCACTTTCCTAATATGAGAAAAAAGTGAATACTTAACTGAACAATTAGATAAAACATGTAAGAGCATCACTGGTTTAATTGCTTTACATTAGATACCTGTCACCAACCACCACCATCCATGTCTCCCGAATAATAAGCATTCTAGCTTTTTGTGAAAACTCAAAAATTCAAATCTCTTTTTAATTTATTGAAGTTCACAAATAAGTGTGCCATTACAAGACTTGGCAAGATTAGACGTGAAAAATATCCCCCGCTGAGTGGATGCGTGTCTTGTACAGCACAAGAGCGTGATTAAGTGTTTGCCTGAGTGTGCGTTTCTATGTGCATGTCTTTGTGTGTTGTTACTGCCTTCACACATGCGTGGGTGTGGAACAAATCCATGTAATCTGAGTGATTGACATCCTCCCCTCGGCTGAGAGTTGGTCACGGCGCTTGATGGAAATTAGACTTAAGAACCACCCTTTTTTTTTTTCACTTCTGCCCAATGTCTCTAAGAGTCTTCCACACAGACTATATCTTTGGTCCTCCTATAGCAACAAATAAATATTTGGTGGGGAACAGTATAATATAAAAATACATTTTGACCCTATTATTACTATAGCTGGGTATATACATGAGGCGATGGGATGTAGTTATACAAAGTGGACCCAGTGCCTTTATTAATCTAGCCTTCAGAACATGCCTTTCTCAGAGATGGCTTCTTTTATTTGTCTGTCTGAAAAACTTAAAATATGATGTTTTAAGAGGTTCTAGAATGTAGCCACACCAGCAAACGGCTTAAATAGAGAAACAGTTGTACAAAACTTTTTATGTGGCTTGACTCTTTCACACTCTGACTCTGGTCTGTTTAGCTGGTTGTTGTATTTGTTGTGTTTCAAACATGTGTTGCAGACAGGGAAATTGCAGAGCGCTCTCTGGTGGACAAACTATGCAACATGAAAACACATGACACAGCTGAAGAGTGTTTCTACCAACTGATCTTTACTTTATAAATGTTGAATTATTGGGTGTTGTCAATGCTGATACTGATATATTGGCAAATAGCTAATAATGGCCAGTATATATGCTATACATATATACTGCAATTAAACAGTTTGGGTTCAGATTACAAACTGTTCTTCTGGGGAAATTAAATCAATTTTCAATTTTTATTTCAATGTTTAATTTCATATGGTAGCGGGCACAGGCTCCAGTTCCTCTGCGACCCTGAACTGTATAAGCGAAAGTGGATGGATGGATGCATAGTGCCAATTTGTGACAACATCAGTGCTTTATATCACAAGGTAAAGACCCTACGATATCAAAACCTCAACAATCACGTGACCCCCTACGAGCAAGCACTTGGCAACAGGGAGAAAGAAAAACTCCCATTTAACAGGAAGAAAACTTCAGCAGAATCGGGGTCATTGAGGGGCCGCCATCTGTTGTGACTGGTTCGGGGTGAGGGGAGGGGGAATTAATAGCAGCTTTAATTTTTTGCTTTC